CAAAAAACACATTATTTTAGGGAGGGTTTTAACACTTTCCTCCATAGAGCTGCTAAAGTACCGCGGGATAGAAAGAAAGAAGCACATAAACAAGAAAATGGGGAAAGGAGACCTCTGGGACGATTCTGCTCTCATCGACGCTTTCGACCACGCAATTTCCAAGTACAAGGTTCCTCTGTTTCTCTCTATACGCACATATACGTACGCAGATATTAATTCATATAAATTTATTGTACTCTTCTAGAATGACCACTCTTGATTTTTGCAGACGATGCATGGGATGGGAGTCCGAGGTGGGTCAGGTGAGGGAGGAAAACCCATTACTAGTAATGGGGAAAATTTTGAAGTTGATACTAAGAGCAGTGAAGTTAGCTCCTCTGCAGGGTAATATATTTATTTATTTTTAGATCTTTAGATTTTTTATGATTAATATTAAAAAAATGTATGTGCAAGCTTAAGAGTTACAAGTAATTATAAGAAAATAGTAATTCGAATTAATTAGTGCGAGGAATTATTATTTCTATTGTACGTAGGAGGAGGAAAAGTATTTTTTGGGTTGTGTTGGGTAGTGCATGTTTCATGTTCTTCATTATACAAAGTTATGAATTGTATAGGCAACCAACTGTGGAGAGTGAAAAATTGGAAAGTAGATATAATCAGCTTATTCAAATTTGATGATTTTATGCGATTTTGAAACCCTAACTCCATGCAAAGAAGGGGATTTGGTTATTAGAATCGGGGAATGACACACGTCAAAGCTAATGTGAGTTTTTATTGTTATGAGTTTGTTTACAATAGTAAAGCCCAAAATTCTATGGGAATCGTTGCATTAAAATATTCAGGTTCTTCAAGGCCTGCAATAAAGGGTGGTGTATTCTCCGGGACCACTCTGATGCCTAAGTCATTGAGAACTTTATTGAAATGTCAGTATGTATTTGCTTTATATTGAATATTGCAACTTACCTAGAGGGTTCCCTAGGATAAGATTTTATACTTCGAACCTCCTTCTGTAACTCAACTTATATACTGACCAAGGCATTATCTGAGATAAGGTGTACTCTGCTTGTAATCATCTTTTTCCCTCACCTCGTTGACTGAATGTACTTATCTCTACCCTTCACGTCGAACAGTTGATCTAAAATTCTAGTTTATCCACAATAGGCTGTAGGATGGACAATTCCTAGAGCCCTCCATCAGTAAATGTCTCTTGGCTGGCCTTCAAATAGGGTTTATAGGTTTCTGAGGACTTAGGGTGGGCCTTGAGTGTGTATTGATTAAGTTGGGATGATATAGTTTTTACCCATGTCAGGAACAAACGCACAAGTGTTTTTCTTTTACGAAGATGTGGTGCTTAAAATTGAAGCCCTGATTCAATCTAAAAAGGGTGTCAGGAAGTAGCAGTTTTTATAGAGTATGAACCAAGATTCAACTAAAAATTATTATCTTAGTACTGTTTTATGCACTACTGATCACCTCGTTATTTTTCACATAAGGCTTGAAAGTGTTGTACTTTCTTCCTATGTCTAGAAGGATAAGAGGCAAAGAGTGACACTATTTATATATTATGTTTAGAGAGTAAAAAATAGATGGAATATTTGAAGACTTTTGAGAGATAAATTCAAGGTTAGAAGGGATTTTGTCCGAAGCCTGTGTCATTTTAGGGAGGTATTTCTCATTTAAATGATTGGATCTTTAAAAAATCTTTAAGACTATACCAGCTTAATATCCCCGTGCATGCAACACTCGCCTCAGTATTTTCCAAGTGTATTTCATTCCCGTAATAATGGCCCTTCAATGTAATTTCTTTCACTACTCTTATGTTACTTCTCTTTGCACGTGAAAGCCAGCAAAAACTGGCACTAGCTTGAGCAGTTTTAATATTTGTCTTAAGTTTTTTTCACATAAATTGTTATATGCTAATTTAACAGCTATATGATGTATGTGATTCATCTATTGATTTCTTTTGCATTGGCGAAGACATGTGGAGGCAGCTGATGGCAAGAAAACCGCATTATATGCCACTGCAGAAATTGGCGAGACTGGCAACGTTTCACCAATTGAGGAATATCCTTCCGATTCCGTGGAGTTCGTTTTCCCTGAAAAACATATAGTTTCATCCACTGTGCAAAATGGTAACCATACACCTGACAAAGAAAATTCTGCAATGGAGTCGAGTTCTCCAAAGAAACATATAGGTTTGTCCGATGCGCAAAATCTTCAAGATGAGGCCACTTGGTACTCACAAAGTCCAGAAGAGTACAACCAGTTACTGAACAAATATTACGAGCTTGAGAGTCAGAGGCAGAATATTCTCCAGCAACTTAACCAATTCAGCAATTGGAGCTATGAGCATCCCGTTTCTAGTACATTCACTCCTGAATATCATCAAGGTTCAATTGCCCAGTCTTCTTACCAAACAGTTACCTGTTACTGTCCATATGGCTGCCAAAGTTCAGTGGCCTGCTGCCCTTCATTACCAGCTCACTGTTCAGATGGTGCTTGTGTTGATAAAAGTTTTGATACTACTAGAGTTGGTTGTAATGGGAATTCAGCATCTCAGGAAGATCATGATTTTGTTAAAACGGCAATGGTTGCTGCAGAAAGAGCACTTTCTTCTCTTACGAAGGAAATTTCTCAGAAGGCTGATGCATCTGTAAATGGAGGTAAGACGACTTTCCTTCTCTCTATATGTGAGCCAATGGTTATCATTATTTGGCTTTGGCATAGGGGACCTTCAAAATCGTGGAATAGAAGTGTTAGTGATAGAAGTTGCTTTTATGTAGTTTGTGCTGAGGTACTCAATGATTAAATGTAGTATGTGAAGTTTTGAGAATGTTGGCTAAGTGTAAAACTGGGGGAAAAGCAAAAACAAAGTTCCTCATTCTTGAATCCATAATTACTCTTGATAGGTTCGATTGAGAACCGTTTTTAATAAACTATAAATTGAAAGGAGCTACTAGGCTCCTTTATAATTGTGTAGGCTCTGATTTGGCTCTAGTCTAGACAACTCTTGATTTGTTATGTTGACATATCATACATACTATTAATATCTCTCCTCTCTTACTAACCTACCCCTTCCACCCACTTACTTTTGATATTTAAGACTGTGACAAAATGTTGAGGGGGATGGGGTTGGTGGGATAGACATTGCAAAATCAGTGTCTCAGGAACTTCGTAAATAAACCTAAGCACCCCTATCAATATAGCAAAACTAGAAAAAACCCATGTTCTAAAAAACGTGAAAACGCGCCGCTTAGGCGGGCTTAGGCGCGACCAAAACGCGTCGAATTCCGGAAATGCGGGAAAAATGCGTTTTCCAACTAAAAGGTGCGCCTAATGCGCGCCTAGGCACGCATTAGGCGCGCATTAGTCCGTCTAATCCCTTTTTTTTTTAAATCTGTTTTTTATATATATTAAAAAATTTATTTTTTTTATATAAAAATATATTTAATGCCTTAAAAATACGAAACGCATTATGACGCTTATTCTTCGCATTGACACGCCTAAACTTGTGATTCTTGATTCTCGGC